CTCTTTCCCAGAGGGGGAAGACTTTCCCCTGGTGCCTGTTGCCACCCTGGGCTCTCCCATGCACTCAAACTGAGGCTGAGGTGGCACTGTCCCTGCCAGCGATGCCAGGTAGAGGATGGAGAGGAGTTAGGAAGGAGCTGGGATCTAGCAGGGCTTTGGGGTTAAGTTCTTCATTCGGAGGGTTGAAGCACAGAGGGTGGGGGCAGGGAATTTGGGGCAACCAGTCGGGGGGAAACTGCAGTTCAATTATGCTCATGATTTTAATCCCCTTATCAGTTTGATTTTAAATAAAGAAGCCTAGGGCCCAGGAGGAAAAAAAAAAAAAGAGGAATTCCCCCTGCCAGCTGCCAGGGAGTGACTCATCACAACTACTATCACAGCCTGGGAGTGTTTTCCTCTGCTTAGGAGATACTACAGTAAGATGAAAACTTTTTTCTCAAATAGGTGATGAGCCCACAACAGTAAATGCCTAGACCATTCTAAAAGTATCTGCATGTAAATATTTTTGCAAAGGTTCTAAACAGGATTCCCATGGGTTTACTTATCCCTTAGCTTTAGAGTCCCTTGTAGTCTGCTGTATAGCGAGACATCACATCGGTGTAGAAAGAACTACCATAAAAAAACAGGCATTGAATCAAACCCAACTGGAGTGCTTTACAACCTCTGAACAGTAGATGCACTCTTCCACTTTGGATTGTTGACAGCTAGCAGGCGAGTCTGCAAGCTTCCACTTGAAATTTCAGCCATGATGGAGTACTTCTATCTTGGTTCGGAGGCTCTGGACATAGCTGGCCATGCAGTTGTGCCTTCACAAGTTTTGAGTTGTAACTGTTGAGTATAGAACCCCCAGGATCCTGATGAAATGCTAATCATTAACATTTCATGTTCATCAGGTGGCAGAAAGTCAGTACAAACTAGAACTCTTCTCTTGCACTGAAAAGCAAAGCCACAGAGTAGGAACCTGAGTAAGATTTATGATGTTTATATTTGGGTTCTTCATGTCATGGGACAAAAGGAGTAGCATTAATTAACTTTGACATAGACATTTTATTTTCTACTAAGATGGGGGGTTGGGATACAGTCAGTTAAGATCTACTCAAACGTTGGGTTTTTAAACTTAACTAGCATGAGCTTCCTGGGAAACTGGGTGAGAAAAACACGGGACCCACTAGGGGGTAGGGTGGTGCAGGGAGTTCTCCCCACCTCCCACATGCGTTTGTTCCCTGTTGGAGAGTTCGCTTGACACACTTGGAGCTGGTTGTCGCCTCTTCATGTGTTGCTGCTACCTTCCCACATGTAGGAAGTGCTTGAAGACAAGTAGAGTCAGATCCCTGCAGAGTCGGGGTAGTGTCACTGTATTCATAACCCAAGCAATGCAGAAAGGTGATGTTCAAACTCTTTAAATAGCAACTTTCACTAAGTAGCACACTGACCCCTTAGGCATGATATCTACACATCGTGCACTACAAATATGTAGATGCTCACCCTTATTACTGGAATTATATCTTTTTTCCTTTCTAAGTTTTGAGATGTTCTTCATAAGTTACAAATAAATTTCACAACTCCCAAATTAAATAAGACTGGCCTATGGCGTAGTTGCAAGCTAAGTGTGGAGGGCTTGGTATCTGCCTGTTACTCCTCAGAATCGCTGCACTGCATGTGTGCCCTCCTTATGGGACTCCATTTGACACTTGTCTGTCCTTCCCAGTACCCTCTGCTTTTAAAGAGTTTATATACTGAGAACTGCTGTGGCCTTTTATGATATATATAAAGTAGAATAAAATAATGAAATACTTGAAAAAAAAAAGACTGGCCTAAATAAACTACCTATATCCACTGAGACAACTACGGCATCACTTTACCAGGGCGTATCATGAAATGTGATATATTTTAATCTGTAAGTTAAGGAATACTATAAATCTATGATTCATGTAGTACAACAAATTTTGAGCAGAAAATGGCTTTTCCCTGAATTATATTTGCTAGAGTCAACATCAGTATTTCTTTATCATATCAAAATAAATTGGTTATCGTTAAATGAGTGCATACCTTTGATTCCTTCATCAAATTTGTTTCAAATGTCAGTAGCAATTTATCTTACAGAAATCTGACCATAAATCTGACCATAAATCTGAAGCAGTACATGACTATATCACTGTAAGAGATGATAAAAAACAAGGCAAATGTTTACATTTATTTAAAAGTTACTACAGTAAAAAGCACATTGTTATTAATCCTCTCAAAACACTCCACTTAGAACATGCTCACCCCACTTTCCTGCCACTTTCTGAAGCAATTCTGCAAGTACCCTTTCCTGAGGGTTTTTGGTTGCACTGGTGGCTACTTCAGTGCTTTGAATTGACTTAAAATGTTTGCCTCTCATGGTCATTTCAACTTTGGGGAAGAACCAGAAGTCATAGGGTGCCAGATGTGGTGAATAAGGTGGAAAAGGACATGCTACAATGTTTCCACAAGCCCACCTTTCTATTAGATGGCACATGGCCCCACCATTCATTATATTTTTCACTGTACCTCATAAAGGCACTCATCAAAGAGACATCTAGAAAACTTTAGTAAGTGGCTGTAATGATGAGAGAAGTGTATGCGGGGTTCAAATTAAGTAAGAGGCTGAGAGCAGAACAGGTTAAAATTTAGAGAACCCTTTATTAGCCAGGCCGGTGACTGATCAGCCTCACTCCACGCAGGGAGGCGCTAACCAGCACTGAAGCAAGATTTGGCTGGTCTCTTAAAGAAAAAACCACATTCTGGTCTGCAGATAGGATTAGGAGGAGGGATCTGCGAAGTTCTGAGAGAACTTAATCTTATGGGACTTGACAGAACAAACAGTCTTGGCCACACAGTTTGGATGTTTGTATGTCATTTACAGAAAGCAATCAAGGTCGGGGTAATCTTATGGCCTTAGTAATTTTTTGCAGTCCTACAACATTTTTAACTGTTGACTATGTTTATAGGAACTAGATTAGGGAGGAGGAGACAGTTACTCAGTTACTCGTTACGAAACAGCCTTGAACAGAGGGTGAGAACACATTCCTTAGAGTAGATAGCAGGAAGCACAAGGGAACCTAATACTTTTCCACAGTTACAGCACAAAATTCAGTTGACCCATTACATTCCCCAATGGTTTTATCTGGGAATTAAATCATTGTTTCTTTAGTTACCTTCAAGGTCTGGTATTGAGCTCTAAGCACCATTAACTTGACAGCTTGGATTCTTTGTTGAACATACTTAAACAGTTTATGAAATGCCCTGATAGTCAGGGCCAAGAGAAACAGAAGAACTGGTCCAATTGAGGCAGATATCAGGTCATTTATATGAGGAGACTTCGAGAATAGTCTCTAATTTTCCTTTTGAAGAATCTCTAAAGCTAATTTTTTGGCTACATTATACCCCAATTGTTTTATATGTTGTTCTGCTATTTTGCCAAAGAAGAAATTTTTTAACAACATTAAATATCATACCATATGCTCTGTATCAAACAGGAAAGTGACTTTATCATTACAGTCAGGAGGAAGAGGTATGTTAGAAACTTCTCTCTTTTTGTAGGGTGGTGATGTAATATAAAATTATTTTGAGATGGGATCACCACTGTTAATCTACTCAAACATCAGGGAACATCAGTTAACAACAGAGTCTGAGTAGGTGGGTATTTTCTAGAACTTGGGGCGGGAGGACAGGCAATATCTCCAGTGGCCCCACTGGCTTTTGTGCCACCTCTTGAGCTGTAATATTGGCCAGTGAGTTTCCTCTTTTGTCTCGAGGTCTGGCCCACAGTGGGAGCATCCATCTCTCTCACAGTCGCAATGTATCTTGTCTTCCATGCTGTCTCCTTGAGGGCCTGGCCCTGTGTGACTGCCTATAATATTCTTATCTAACTCGGCTACCTGCAGCAAAGTACTTTTGAAGTGGGGGGAAATATTTTGTGGAGGGTTCATGACAATGTGTCTTTTACTGTAATGAATATTTTTAAATTTAAACATTCACTGTATTTTTAACATACCTGATAGATCACTAAGTGTTGTCTCTACAACCTGTTCATGCTGTGCGATGGTTTAAGTATAGTTAAAAATTCATACTGTTGAGAATAATAGTAAGCAATATTTTTCCATCCTGCCTTCCTGGGGCAGTGTTCCTAAAATTGGGGATCAAGACTTATTTGAAATTTGGATGAAACCTATGGCCCATCTCCCTGAGTCGACAAACTCTGATTCCACTCACCCTCGTCTGAGAATCCTCCACTGGAGCAGAGGTGGTCCTCCGGCTGTCTCAGCTTTCCAGACCACGGGAGCCCCGACCACTGCCCCTCCTGGAAGGAAGCACCATGTCCCATCCCATCGGAGTGTAAACTGCAGCTCCTCACTTCTTCAAGTCCCTTCCAATTACATTCACACAGCAGTGGTGTCTACTGTACCGGCACTACAGTGGATGGATGGAAGACATGGCCTTTTTGGCGCTGTGTTTGTCAGCGTGTCACCTGATCGGGCTTCAGGGCCCGCTGCTATAGTGGCAGCAAAGAGGGCGTCCAGGTTGCAGAGATTCCTGACAGACACCTGGAGCTACTTTCAGAGTTCCCATCCCGAGGGCAGTACATATTCATAGTATTTCTTTGTAACAATGAGTTAATTAAAATATTCACCAGTTTACGCTGCATTATTGCGACTTAATATGTAACAAGTAGATTGTCTAATAAAACCGAACAGAAAGCCTATTGGAATCCCAAGCTAAGCCTTAAACCACAGGAGCAGAGCACCACTGCCACCTTTTGGCTACATAGCCTAATTGCAGGTCCAAGGAGTTGCAGGGATAATAAACCTTTACCAAGCAGGGTAATAGTAAATGATAAGATGGCGAAAACACACATTTCTTGACATGCTGATATAGGGAGAGTAGAGCTGTTATTAGAGCTTGCTCTGGCTTTGCCCTTTGCATCTCCTACTAGCTGTCCAAACCCCAAGCTCATGCATACTCTGTCCTTCTTGCAGGATCGGGGGAGCCATTCCCACTGTGTTCTCTTACTTTGCTGAAGTCCTGGCCCGAGAGAAGAGGGGTGAGCATCTCAGCTGGCTCTGCATGTTCTGGATGATCGGTGGCATCTACGCCTCTGCCATGGCCTGGGCCATCATCCCGCACTACGGTAAGGGGCTGGCCTTGCACCAACGGGGGGGGGGGGGGGTTGGGCATCGGCTTCTTTTCAAGCGCAGGTCTGAGGCCAAAGCCATCCTCAGCATGTGTCTCCTGTCTGTCATATTTTCTTCTTGCTTACAGATCCTCTAAAGTAGACTGTGTCTGTGGTTCTCTAGGTGGAGAGTATGATAGGAAAAGCATTTTCCTCCTCTCTACTCTCATAGCACTTCCGGTTATCAAAATGTGTAGGGTGAATACACAGGAGAATATACACAGAGCAGGGTGAGGGGCTTCGGGCCACTCCCCTCATTCCCTGCCTTCCACAGCTTGGAGCTCTCTAAACCCCAGGGATTTTCACATGGGCTTCTCTGTACGAGTCGCACAGGCGGGCTGGAAGGCTAACTCTCCCCCAGCCAGAGGGTGGGACGGAGCTGCGAGTTCTGAGCTTCTCCTCTGCGCTGGGCCTTTCTGTGTCCAGGCCGCACCCAGGAGCCTGGAGAAGCTGCTTGGTCAGAACAGAGAAACACTCCTCCACCCTGAAATGTTCAAGGGATTAGGAGGTCTGTGGCAAGAGTGGAGAGTGAAAACCAAAATGCACGCTTCATTTTCGTTCTGTGTTTTTACACAGCACATTTATTCGGTCCTCGTTGCATCTGATGCCTGTCTTTTTTTTTTTTTTTTTTTTTTTTTTTTTTTTTTTTTTTTTTTTTTTAGAACCATTTGGGGTTGCACAATAACCACTTCGTGGCAGGTAATTTGTATCTCTATGTGATAGATCTTGATTGCTGTTCTTCTTTTCTGTTCT